TACGCGTACACAGGTGACGACCCTCCCGCTTTAACAAATTTGACTGAATGCATGAATCAATGGAATCTTAAATTAGCTGAAGTTCTCATTGTGAGGATACTTTGTTTCAACTTAGCTACATCTTGAATTAGTGAAATTACAGATTAGCTAAATTAGCTAAAATAACCTGCTAGCTAAAAACACGTTTTACAGTAAACAAAAAAAATATATACTTTTTTAAAGTCTATAGAACATAAAAAGCTCCTTTAAAAAACAAATGAATATATTATAAAATTAAAGTTTTCCAGATTTCCAAACATATTTACTGTAGATGATACTCACTAAATTATTCTCAAATATAATAAATAATATTTCTATTTATACAGTGATTTTGGATTCCAAAAAACACAATATGACTTTGCTGGTTTTTATCACAATATCTGAATTAAGAATCTATACAGCACATAGAACTGCAACATAAAAATATTTTTATCGACTAAAAAGAGCTACATCAATTTGAATTTACCAAAAAACATTAATTGTTCAGAAAACTTGTTTCCAGGGAAACTGCATTTTTTATATTATCATCATAGCATTAACCCCTGAATGATTTAAAATTGATGAAATTGATTTGTCACTACAAATTTTCAAAATACATTATGTGGGAGACCCAAATACAATTGCACTATTAAAATATTTGTACATATTTGGTTCAAATTTACTATCAAACACAATTGCATGCACACACACACACAAAAAAAGGCAAAACATTCTCGCTTGAGAATAGCACTCATATGGTGTGCTCTTACAAATAACGGTTCCTGGAAAAAATAATGCTCACAATTAATGTATTAAGTACTTTAAGTCTAAAATTAAAGTTTGTGGCAATCATCAATACATATTATAAATGCAATTAAAATTAACCACTGAAGTAATCAATGGGATAATTTTGATTTGATGGGGCACTCAAATAAAATAAACCAATGGAAAATAAGCCATTCATTGCACAGTCCCTGTATCAAATCTTATCAAATATAGTTTTGTTTATAGTAATATAGTAAAAGTACTTTGGATCGTCAAACCAATACATCTATGACATGATGTATAATGAATATATCAAATTTGAACATCAGTCAAAGCATGTCAGAGATATTGTGGTTCTAGAATCACATTCATTAAAACAAAATGGCCACTAGTCGACCATTCTGAATCTTATCTGAAAAACAGAATGTATGTACTAAGTTCAAACAAAATTCATCTGTAAACAGTTTTCGAGAAATGGTTGATTACGATGATTTTCAGTACAAAAATGGCTGCCGTT